CACATTAGGTTTGTGTCCACAATGTCTGCATTCTGTGATACATGTGTTTGTATTTGTCAGGCATATCAACGATGGCAGCGGCGGGTCTGGGCAACGCTTTGTCGGACGTCGCGGGCATCGGTTCCGCCTATTATGTGGAACAGTTCGCCACAAGAATTGGTGTCCGGTCTCCGGACCTATCATTGGTTCAGTTGCAGATGTCTCGGACGCGTTGGGCCATACAATTGGGCCGAGCCTTTGGTATTACAATCGGTTGTCTCATCGGAATGTTTCCGCTATTGTTTTTGCCCACAAAACAGGACAAACGGACCGAAACTAAATCAGATTAACTCTATTATCAGTATTTATATACAATTTAATGCTATTTGTTTCAAATGCTAACTTAGTATTCAACTCAATTGAGGCAACTATTATAGTTCAGTACAATATCTCCCCCGGTATTAAAAGTAGTATTTATTATGCATTGTATTTATACAACAAGTGTTTGATTTTTCTTGAAAAGCCTAAGCGATGATCAAAAAACGATTGCTATTAAATAAATGTCATAAATACATGATAACTGTATTAATATATTCAATATAATGTGTATATAACGTAATCACAAACCAATATTTAGATGCAATTTTGTTAACTAATATTTACTGCAAACTAACAAAAAAAAGAGCACAATATTTGTTTATAAACTCACATTTGGATCCATTCATGTAAATTACTTTTAGGCCATTAACCAATTGTTTTCAAATTTAATTACTTAATAAAAAAGCATAACTTAATTGTATTTTAAAACCATTAATTGTTTATTTATAATCCTTAGATCTAATGAGTTATAATGCACTAAAATATTTACAATATGGTTAATCAATCATCAATTAGTGGTATCTTTATTCATACAATTAATTATATTCTTAATGATTGATTAACACCTATTAGAGTGACATTTAAAATAATATAATAGAGTATATAATATACAGTATAAATAGTTGCCGATAACGGCATTGATAACGGCGTGAAACCGATTACTCGTCTCTTATTTTAACATTTTTGATATCATCGGCGGTCTCTTCTTCTTCGTCCAATCGGTTGCTTATATAATATACAGTATAAATAGTTGCCGATAACGGCATTGATAACGGCGTGAAACCGATTACTCGTCTCTTATTTTAACATTTTTGATATCATCGGCGGTCTCTTCTTCTTCGTCCAATCGGTTGCAAACATTACCGCAAGCTTTACATAGAGATAATCAACACATGATTAGTACAAAACAGACATCAATAGTGATGGAAAGGGACACACCTTTGAATGCGTGAGAGTACTGTTGACTGAGTTTAAGTTTCATGAATTTGATCCGATGGTAGACTGAGTCGAGGTCTTTGCGGAGATCAGTCAACTGTTGCACATATCGCTGCACAGCGACTGAGGTGTGGGTGAATCGATGCACTGCCAGTGCGTTACAGTTGACCAGCATTTCATTGCTCTTCTCATACATCGACAACCTATACATCGGATGACAGAGAGGTATACAGAGAGACATAGTATTAGTGAATAACCGATACAAACGGTGTAAGTATTGCATACATATTGGTCTGTGAGTCGAGCACTGCGTCCACGTGTTGTGAGTCGACGAGACGGCACATCACTGTCGACACGGACTCACTCTCTGTGCACTCCTCCACACCACTGGCCATACCTTTACTGTCCATCCATTCACTCAACCATTACTTATATAACAACAACTTTTCCTCACTTTCTGTCATATCTCTCGTCTCAACTCGTGTTTACATTCAATACCTTTAATAGGGTATAGCGTTGAGCGCATGCGTAACGTCAGAGCCATTTAAACAGTCAGCCAATGGGAGAGCGCGACAGTCACTGAACTTGAGTTTTTAAATGCACTTTTGGTAACGGATTTTGAATATCGCAGTCATAGACGAGACACTCATTGAAGCACTGATTGGGACAACAATTAAAACATTTAAAAGTCATTCAATTATTATTTGCAACCATTTCTCACAATCACTGAACACTTGATTCACTTCACTCCCAATCGTGTCCACAATTAGTCTTCAATTATCTTCACTTTGAAGTCAAATCCATAAACAGTATAATTGAATAGAATGTCAAACTCCGGAAGAATGGTATGTATTGTTGGATGTGTTGGCCGAAGACACAACGCTTGGCGACACAATGA